AGAGCCAGTCTCCTTAAATGGATGATAAGAGGAAGACTCACAGAAGGATCAATGAAAAGCATTTGTCTTTGGTACAAAGATTTGTTTTGAAAGACATTGGCTACCACAGATATGTTGATCATTTCCTCCCTGCGAATATTGAGACACAAAATTATAATGTACAACATATTTATAATTCTCAAAACAAAATTTTAACTCTTTCATTAGACTTTTGGGGGAAAACGTTGGAGCTTTCAGAATTATCAACATGCAAATTACTGTCATTTTAGTTTATCTTAATGGTTGTTACCTCTCATTTTTGACATTTATATTGTTCATCTTCACATAAATTGCTGATAGTGAAAGTGGAGCACCTGTTGAAGAATATAGAGGAAATTATTATTCTTTTCATCCCTTCTGACAATTAATAGAAACCCTAGAAATGTTGTTAACACTGTAGCTCAGAGGTAGAGAGATTGCTTAGCATGCATGAGGCCCTAGGTTGATGCCCAGCGCCTCACAAATTGAAAGGAAAGAAACAAACTCAGAAATTGAATTGCAGTGGTAACACCTAGATATTTTATAACATCTTTATAAAAGTATAATTGACATACAAATAATTGCACATATTCATTTTGTACAAAATTTGATGAATTTGGACATATACAACATCAATGATACCATCACCATGACCAAGATAATAGATATATCTGTTATCTCCCAAAGTTTCCTTATGTGTTTTTCTGTTTAGCTGTTTTATTATTTTTCTGTGGTAAGATTACTTAGTACAAGATCTACTTTCTTAACAAATTTGAAGTGCACAATACCATATTGTTAACAATAGATCCTATATTATACAAATCTCTAAAATCTATTAATCCACAACCGTGGAAACTTTATGACCATTGAACAACTCCGCACTAACTACGGACTGCTTATTCATTCAGTCATCTATGGATATTTGCACTGATCCAATACCCGGGCTATTGTGAATAATGCTGCGATGGACATGGAAATGCAGCAATATTTTTAAAACCTTAATTTCAATTATTTTTCATATATATCCATGTTACTGTACAGCAGGCAGATTCTTCTCTCAACCCAGAAAAAATTACAAGGTAGAAAATGAAAAGAAGACTGAGCAAAGGTATTTATTGTAGAGGGAAAGCAGATAACAGCACTTATTGTAAAGCAAAAACAACTTGGAGTTGGATTGCCAAAGGGACTCTTTTCTAAGGGTTTTATACACAGAAAAGACTATGTCTCAGCCAAATCGAGGTCAATTTATGGGATGACAAGCAGGAAAGTTTGACTTAGAAGTGGGCCCATAGGAGCTCCGGATATGTAGCAGGCTTACTTCTGCAAGCACCATTAATTGTAACTTTAAACTAAACAAAGACATTCTTCAGAGAGGTATGAATGTCTTTTTTTTCTGGGCCAGAAAATCCCGCCAATCTAAGGAGGCTTTTGTTTGTGCAGCTGCAGGTCCATGCATCCTTCATTGAATCTTGTCTGGCTGCCTGTGTTGCCTGTAGCATTCCTTGACAGAACCTTCTCCCCTCCCCTCAGGGTCAGTGTCACTCTCAGAAATCCTTCCATCTTCCCGCAGATCCTTCTCTTCCTCAACATCAGGTTTTACAGAAACTAATCCTGTGGATTACTGTTGAGAGCCTCTTGTTATGTTAGGAAAATGACATACAAACTTTAGAAAATGGGACCTGCACATTCTTCTGTCATCATTGAGAATTTTCTTAAAAATTTCGTCCAAATACTAACATCACTTACTCTAACTTAAAAGCTTTTAGTCATTTTCTCACTATGACATTTATAATTTTAAGTTGTAATTCTTCATGATATGTTTGTCTCATTCTGAATGGAAGAAAATCTCTGGAATTTATCTCTCCAGTTCTGCTGTAGTCCCTAACAATTAGAACATTATCACTTAATAACTCTGGAGTGAATAAGTTGTCTGCATAATCATCTTCATATTTTCCTCTACTAACAATTTTTATATGCTTCTTTTGAACTTTATCTTCCACACCACAGGTATAGGAAACATCAAATCCATTATGTAGCTTTAAGTCTACTTGTTAGTCTTTCTTTCAATAAGTGCATGCACAAAAGCCAATTATTTGACATCTGGAGACTCAGCACTGTAATAAACATGTCACCTTGATGGCCCTTGCTAATCAGTCTGCTTCTCATTCATTTTCGTTCTGAAATTAAGTGATACTTGTGTATCACTTTTCTCCTTTTCTCTG